AAATCTTGTGTGCACTTCCAAATGGAAAATCAGGATATCCAGTTACTAGGAAATCTTTTACCAGAATGTGAAGAGACGGAAGTCATTTGTCTCCTCCGTCTCCCATTCATGATTTGTTTGAGCAGCCACATGCAGACCTGTCACACCTCGGATGCACTGTAGCCCACAGCCTGCCACAAGCCCTTGCAGGACACATACTGCTGTTGCTCCACCCTCGTTGGCTGTGACTCAGGAGCAATTTCAGGCTGGCTCAGCTTCCTCTTTTCTGTGGCCTATTATATGTATACGATTGTAAATGTGCTTCTTTAATCTCAGATATAGGATATCACTTTTTATAAACTTTTTTTTTTATTTTTCATTCTAGCTGGATTAAATTTTCAGGGGCAATCCCGAAGCCTCTTGAAATGTAACATTCAGCAGTCTCTGATTTTCTAGTTTGTATTCTATGAAGACATCTGTGAATAAGACATTGAGGTTAACTTTAAATATTTTCTAAGGATTGATGCTGAGTTTACTTGGGGTTCACAACAGGACTACATTTTCTGTTGCAGATTAGTGAACAAAATTAACTTCCACAGGAGCAGTTCTCAGCTCAATGAAGGCATACAATTCAGGGAGTGCAAGAAGAAGGCAGGATGAGAGATAAAGGCTGGTGGCACGATAATACCTTAAAACACTTTCATGTAATAGGCAGCCTGATAAGAATCTCTAGAATAAGCACTGCAGAAATTGCATGGGTTTATATGGCAGAATTCTAATTCACACACAGAGGGAAGTGACTGAAGGAAGCAAGCAAGCAATACAGGGTGAATTAAACAAAATTAGACAGACAGACTTATATCTTCCCAGGTGTTCCTGCAATTTGTTTAAATAGTCTCTACTACTGCTTTCTACTCATCATTTCTGCCATCTATCTGGCACGATCTCTGTTGTGCTAAAATAAATTTCTGGGCGATCATACAGTGAACTCGACAGGATTGTGACAGGTACTGGTTACTTTTCAGCACATGTCCCAACAAAAATGGTGCTGCTGCCAAAAAGAGGATCATGGGATCATAGACTGCAGGAATGAGAGACAAAAAGGAATTGGATATATGAGCAGAAGGACTAGGAGCAAGAGGTAAGTGCAGTGATGTTACATCTAATTTGACATACTTTCAGAGTGCAAGGGTGGTCACAATTCCCAAGAAAAATTCCTTTTATACCAAATCTAGTAGCCATGCAGTGAAGGTATAAACATTTCTATGAGCTAATCAAGAAAATATTTTCTTCTGTTCAGTTCCTTCACTGACTCAGTTCACTTAGCATCAGCAGTAAGATGATCAGCTACAACACAAAGAAAATGACAGGAAAGTGGGACTTTCCATTTTGGATTAGGTTTAATGCCACACACTAAGAAGAGGTTAACAGCAGTCAATAAAGTTTTAAAATAAAATGTTACAGAAAAGACTAAGCACTGAGTGAGACAGGGAGAGCACTGAAAGTATAGGAATAGATAATAGATTATAAAACAGGGGACTAACGGTAGGGTATAGAGGAAGGTGTTCCTCTCTGCATATATAGGCAGCCCTTCGGGGCTGAAAGATAAAATAAACTGGGAAAGATTAGAGAATACAGAAATAAGAGATCTGTAAAAAAGCCAGAAACAGGAAGAAAAAAAAAAGTGGGGAAAATATATCTATGTTTATTAGCTACAGACAAAGAATTGCCTGAGGAACATTGAGTTCTGCAGAAGTGACTGGAAAAGTCCCAGTCATCTGACCTACAGAGAAAAAAGATGCATTGGGAGAGAATGAAGAAACCAGAGAAGAAAGCAGAGTATGACAGACTGATTTGGGAATGACAATTTTTTCACATTACAGCATGTTACTCATCTAGATTATGAATTTCAAATTCTTTGTTTTTCCTTTCCTTCATCTCTTTCAATGTAAACACACACAAGTCTATACAGATAGCTTCATGTGAGCAGCGCCAATGTTGTTCATCAGCTCTATTGCAGATTTGCTGCAGTATTTCTGAAAAAGCCTAAACAATCCCACCTCTCCCTTCCCTCCTGTTTAATATTGCATATTTCAGTAAAAATATCTGTTATAACTTTTATAACTTTTAAGCCTACATCTCTGCATAGGAGGTTTGATGCATCCTTGAAAGACAGACATATGCCCTTTCATGTTCAATTTTTAGTTATTTAGGGCAAAGCTCCTAATGAAGACCAAGCCATGACTTCATGATACAGGAGGGACCTGATCATTTTCATCTGCACATTATTCCTTCATTCCCACAAAAATAGCACTGACTGCACTGTGAAGCAAAGTAGGGAATCAGTTGGGTTAGAGTCAATTTTTATTCTTTTAAATCACTGATCAAATTCATTGTGTAATCTCATAGGCACTGATCCACTGTAAGGAAATACTGTGGGAACACAACCAAGCAGCTGGGGAGAGGTGACGCAATGGGAATTCGTTAAACCGCGATTACTGCCAGAGACTCACTATAATGAAAATGTGATCTCAATAGGGAAAATTTTTTTTTTTTTATTTTTGACATGAAGTTTTCCAAGATAAGCAAACCATTTGCTAAAATAATGTACACTAATAGTACTCTTGGGAAAATATGTATATGTCTACGTACACATAAATATGTCACAGAACTAAGATTGCACAGTCTTCATCTTGACATCTGCTTTTTAAAAGTTTTGTCTTTGAAACATTACTTTTATCTTGCTATTTTTAATACAATGTCCTCGATTAAAGGGATTTTTTTAAAGGAAAGCCACGCCACTACCTAAAACCATCTTGTCTCCCACATGTAGTTTGTTAGCAACATTAACGACTTCTTTGCGAGTGGATTTAACAGCTGATAATGTACAGTGGGGTAAGGAGATTCAGTAGTCTTTGGACTTTTATCAGAGTCTGGAGGGAAGAACTTACAAGCTCCTACCACTGTCTGTGAAGTCTCTCCTCCTGTTTTTAAATCCTCTGCCTCAGGCTTATGCCCTTTCTCAGTCTTAATATTGCTTCTGCAATGACATCAGGCTGTTTCTTCTTTGCCACTCTCTTGTGCATATCAAAAAAACAGACAAAGGAAAAACAGCCCCTCTCCGAAGTCTTGTGTCAACCAGCAGGACAGCAATTTGAGGAAGATTTCTTGAAGGTCTGGAATAAAGTATCCTCCACATCCTGCAACAGAAGCAAATCTTAAGTCTGTTTAAAAGTGAGTTGTGAGGAACTGAAGTGTGACACAGAGTGAAATTTCTTTTTTTTTTTTTTTGAAAGAACTGAAGGAAATCCCCTGAGAAAGCAGTAGAAGAGATAATTAATATTGCAGAAAAACAAGTGTTTCAAGGAAGGCGATGGTGGAAAACTATTTCTCTCTTTCATAAATAAACCTACTTTGACACGTAGGAATGTGGTATAGGTAATTTCCATGAGTTGGGGAAATTCTCATGAAGATATGATCTATGAGGTGTGGTTTATCCTTATAAGTGTAAGCATAGAGCTAACTTTTACTTTCTGTTTACTGTCAGCCTATTTGATATTTTCCATCATGCCAAATGTGGCATGAACCATTTAACCATGGTTCTCTACACACCTTCTCTCACACTCACCTTCTGCTCCTCCTTTCCCTTTTGTGCCCAAGTAACTTTTAATCTTGTTTAACATTGACCTTTTCCTTTCCTTCATCCTTAGGTACACAAAATAAAAAGTAACAACAATCATTGGGTACCACTTTTTTTTTTTCACTAGAAAGCTCGAGTAAGAATACTACCATCCTGAGAAATGAAAAGATACAGTTAAAATTCAGCACAGACTTTTCACTTGTGCGTGCACATGTGGCAGCTCATCTTGACTTTATTTTCTCTCTGACATTCAGCAGTTTTTCCTTGGTCTCCATTCCTACACACAAATGAATTTTGTATTTCTGATGGAACCTAACATGAACCCGAATGTACTATGTATTATATATCATCAGTTAATTAAATGCAAATGTATACTGAGATAACTACAGGCTTTGCTCCCAAACGAGATATGAGTAACATCAAATTGCTCATCCGCATTCTGTTCCTGTTCATTGCTCAGGGCAGCGTACCATGAAAACAGTAATTCAAAAAATAGAAAATTCAAACTGTAACAATACCAAGGCATTTGCTACGCTATAAAGTAGCAAAGAACATACAATGTAGCAAAAATAGGCAAAAAAAAAAGGCAAACAAAAAAAAATCTCTTGGAAATTTTAAAATCACAGAATCACAGGATGGTTGAGGTTGGAAGGGACCTCTAGAGATAATCTAGTCCAACCCCCCTGCTCCAGCAGGGACACCTAGAGCACATGGCACAGGGTGGCATCCAGGCGGGTTTTGAAGATCTCCAGAGACTCCACAACCTCTCTGGCCAGCCTGTTCCAGGGCTCTGTCACCCCCACAGTAAAGAAGTTCTTCCCCATATGGCGATGGAACTTCCTGTCTTTAAATTTATACACATTACCCCTTGTCCTGTAGAAAATTACCTTTTTAAAAGTAAATTATTTTCTCCTTGCAACTTAATTTTCATATTCTTTATTCCTTACACAGACAGCTTTCAGAAAACGGGATACCAGACACAGAAGCCTTCAAAACGGGCAGTCTTCCCAACCGTGCAATTAAAGACAGGTGACTTGAGCATACTGATGAATACAGTAACATTTTCACTTGTCTTTACTCCGATTTTAACGCCAGCCTTGGGCGCTTCGCGCTCCTTCCCAGAGCCCGGGGTCGCCATGGGCCTCCAACGGTCGCCCACGGCAGCGACGGCGGCGGCGGCGGCGCCGCCCCCCCTCGCGCCGCCCGCAGTGGTTCGGCCC